GGGGTCAGGGAGTGAGCGAGTCATTGATGGCGTTCATCAGATGATCCGAGAATGGGTTTAGTCTTCCAGCCCCAGCTCACTAAGTTTGGGTCAAAGCACACCCTCCTTTCGACGATAGCGGAAACCTTGCCAATTCTTAGTTTTGAGGACAAAGTTCCTGCCCATTTCTTGTGATTCATGCATCCCCACGTTGCCACGAAGCAATGTCGATTCCTCAAGGCCGAACTAGTGTCCAAATAGAAATGCAGTTCATAGATCCCACTTCTTTTTGAGTGTGCAACTCTCTGGCACTCGCCCTTTTCGTCGTCCGCTTGTCTATGCGGAAGTGGAGACGTCAGGACTTTACGGTACTATTGTAGGTTCACTGCAAATTAGCTGCTAGCTGACACTTCCTTCTGTTTTAGACTATGTAGGGGCTAGCCTAATAGCGCATTCTTAGAGCTGTAATATCATGACCCTGGTTCTCTAGTCTGCTCTGGGCACTTGTAACATCAGCGGAAGACCACGAGTCAGTCTGAATTGAGCATATTCTTCGGGCCTAGTTGAGAAACGACGGTTTGCAATAAGAAGGACCGCATTAGTGCCACTCAACATTGGTGTCTCTGTTAGATCCCATTCTCGTCCTTTTCCAAAAGATATATGGAGCCGTTTCTTGTCTAACTTGGGGCATTTAGTTTTTTTTAGATGATACTTGCAGTCTTGTATAGTCCATGCTTCCAGGAAAATGGTTTGAATAAACAGACCTACTTAGATTAGATGAGTACCCTGATCCCTGCTGTCGGTGGCCGTAATAGCAGGAGCTTTTCGTTGCGTCTATGACATAGTGGGCATTTGTCGATCGGAGCTTCCTGAGAATTCTGCGCAGTGGAAAAAACACACATCACAGCGCATGACCCACAAAGCCTGTGCCCGCAGGCTAGCGCGTGGCCATAGGCCGGGCCAGACACACGAAACAAGTTGCTTCGTGGAAGCAGTCTTGCCATGCCCTTTTGAAGCCGTCGAGGAGGCGAAGGTGAGCATGGGCCTTAGTCAAGACGCAAGAGCAAGCAAGCAAGGTGGAAACCTAATGCTGTGTAATGAGAGTGGGCCCTTATTAACCCGAAGTTTGAAGACTGGCGTCCTTGACTTCAGGCATGGCTGGACGACCTGTGCTCATTTCCCAGGAGCTAGATTCAAACCTTAACGAAATCGGCTTGAAGAATGTTCCCGGGTCCTCGGTTCGAAAGCTAAGACCGCGGAAAATACGGCTGTGGTTTTCTGACATCTGACATAGATGCTAGGCCTAGCGCCATGACTCGTGGACTTGGACATGGCTTAAGGTGATGTTAACCTTCCCCAGGATCTTTTCACATGCTAAACTAGCCTCAAGCCATCGGTGCCTGTTGGCTGTTGCACAGTGGGAGGCCATCCAGCTGGCCGGGGTCTTTGGATGATGAAGCCCTTTGCCTCACAGATTCAGTCCAGACTATCGTGGTGGATACGGTAGTGATGAATTGCGTTCATCGGATGATTGGGGGACGGATCCGGGGTCGAGATGGAGTCGAGCAAGACGTTGCAGAATGTCCCTCATTGGATGCTACAGATTCAATTCCAGCCACGGTCTGTTCAGCTGGAGTCCGAGCGCTCTCTCCTCTTAGGTCCGACAGCGGGAGCCGATGCCCGTCTTTCATTCAATAATAAAGTGGTTTCCTGCTACCAATTTTTTTGGAGTCGTGCTATTCATATAACCCCTTATTACTAGTTGAATAACTATCACGTGAGAATTCGCAATTTCGCTTAGATTTCCTTACCTTCTCCTTTCCACACCAGAATTACTATAATAGCAAGAGGCGCCCTGGAATCATAGGAAAATCCCTCACAGCCTGACCACAATCTCATCTCGTAGGGACGACTGAGTAGCTGGAATGAAGTTATTGCCAGACGGCGTTGGTGTTGCCGAGGGCCTCGAGCTAGCCTGCATTCCCCTTTCTTATTTGCTTTCTATTTTCTTTATATATAGTCTTATACTAGCTTGTAATTGAGTTGAGGATTGTATTGAAGGTTGTATTGAGGCCTATGTCTATAATAGTATTGATACTTATAATAGTAATAATTCTAACTTAATCTTAGCTTATATATAATTCTAATAAATACTTATAGTTATTTGCTATATATTATTAAAGCTATTAATTTTATTTATTATTCTTAAAGCTAATAATAATAGAATTGGTAATTATAATAATATTAATAATATAGTTATAGTATTATTATTGCTAATATACTTAATAAGTATGCCGGTTAAATAAGCTTGCCGGACACTTATACTGTATAGCTAAAAGTAACAATATCAGATTTTTAAAAACAGGCTATATAACTATTAAAAATATAAAAAAATCATTTTTAGATATTTAAAGAAAAAGAAAATAGTATAGTATTTTTCTTAAACTTTTAATTAGCTTATTATATATAAAATTAAGAAGATATACAGTACAAATAGATTTTTTCTTAATAACTTTATATAAAAAAATAAGTAAAATTTTATAAAAACGTTTTATATAAGTTATTATATAATTAACCTATATCTTAAGTTTTAGCTATTTTAGGCATAATTTGGATTTTTAAGAATTTTTTAAAAACTGCAATTTAAGGTATAAAATATAAGTAACCGGTATACTTATTTGACCAGTATACTTATTAAGTATATTATATAGAAATTATAAATTTAAAGAAATTGTAATCTTCTTATTTATTATAATATAAAATTAGCTATAGAGGCTTTAAGTAATATAAAAGTTTTAAATTTAAAGAAATAGCTATTTAAAGTTTTAAAAGGTAAAAATTAGTAAAATTTATATATAAAAAAGTAGGTTTCTTATTAAATACTTCTTAAGCTACTAATATAAATAAATATCCTACTTTTAGATATTCTTATTAACTTTAAGCTACTTTAAAATTTAATAAGTATATAAAAAAGCAAATTACTATATAAACTTATCTATATATATAAATAAAGGCTTTAAGTATAAATTCTTTTTAATATAATATACTATTATTATAAAATAAGCTTAATAAGTTATTAAATTAATAGTAATATAAGAAACCTAGATATTAATATTATAAAGTTATTTATAATAAAGAAATTTAATTTAAATATATATATTTATATCTATAGCCTATTAAATATAATCTTAGTTTTTCTTTTTAAATATCTATTTAAGAAATTAATAAAAAATAAGAAGATTATTTATATTAATTACTAGAAATAACTTTATATCTTTATATATAATTTTTATAAAGCTATTAACTTTCTAATTAAAATTATAATAATTATTAATATAATATTTTGCCTATTAAAGCTACTAGGCTATATATTTCTTAAAGATATAACTAAAAATACAATATTAAAGAGAATATATATTATTAAGCTGCTTCTATTAAGCTTTAAATTTAGCTTCTATAGGAGTATAAATAATATATTTTTATATCTTAAATATCCCTTTATAGCTATATATATTATTAAGGGGCAATAAGAGCTATAATATTAGATATTTAAGGTTAGGTTTATATTCTTATAGGATATTAAGAGATAATATAATTATATTTACAGTCTCTAAGATATTATTAGCTTTAAAGCTATTAGCTTTAAGATTTTTAAAGTTATTAAAATTATTAAAATTTTATTATAATCTAATTTTTATTTTTATATTAGTATTAATATACTAAATATATAGTTACTGCTATATAGCTGGGAAAACCTAATTAAGAGTATTCTTAAAAGCCTTTTTTTTATTTATAATAACTATAAAAGAAATTAGAAGATAAAGCTCTTACTAGTATATATTAAGCTGCTAATAAAGCTAAAAATAAGCTTTTTTTTCTTATTATTAATAAAACTAAATATAAAATTAACTATAAACTACTAGTTTAATATTTTAATTACCTAGAAGAAGAGTATCTTAAAGTAATTAATCTTATATATATTATTAAGACTAAAAACCTTAAGAAAATACTTCTATTAAGTTTTATACTAGAAATAAGTTTAAAAAACTATTTAAATATAATTCTTATTATTATCTTTATATTTAATAAAATACTACAAATTATATAACTATAAAATAGAAATCTAAAATTAAATTACAATTAAACTACTAAAAGTTTATTACTAGAGGTATTAATAGTTATTATAAATATCTTTTTATATAAAATAGCTTAATATTAATATTAAAAAGTAAAGAATTTTATCTATTTCCTAAGTAAAAAGAGAATTTATTTAAATAAATAACTATATAAGAGTATACTATACTTAAGTCCTTCTTTAATAGATAAGATAAATAGAGGGGTTATAAGAGGCAGGGTAGTTATAATAGCCCTTAAGTTAATAGACCCAAAGATTATTTATAGCTAAGCTAGATTTTGCTATAATCTTAAATAAGCAGTTGATTTTCCTCTTCTTTAGCTGTTAAAGCCCTATAAACCGAGGTCCTCGTAAAGCCAGGCTACAATCGCAGCCAAGGGAGACATATCGTAATTATGGGGTTCCGGTAGCATCTGGCTTCTTCGTAGCAGCCATCTTGATGAGGGCAGCGCCCTTATTGAGATAGAAGTCTTAAAGGAAGGCAAAGAGGTTATCGAATATATTAAAAGTTGGCGATTCGGGCGGCGGAGGGATTTATATTAAGGGATTTTCTACTATACTTAGGAGCAAAGACTCCTCATCTATAAAGGGGTCGATCTCGCTCTGCGATGCATTGGAAAATTCATCAATCATCATAAAATTGGGATCATCAATACAGAGAGACTCATTTTCACGATCCATTATGAAAAAGCGATTGAAATCGGGGTATTGGTGGCGTTGTAGAGGAGTATTATGATCGCGATAGATAGTATAATGTAAAGGGGGAGGAAATCGGGCTGCGGAAGGATTTTCCTGATCATGTGATGCCGCACGTGCGAAAAGTTATTCAACTAGCAATAAGGGGTTATATGAATAGCACGACTCTTTTTTTGCGTTTGTCCGTCCTCGTATCAGCAAGAAGCAATGTCGGTCGCTCGCGAGCCCGACCACAGTTTTCAACTGCAAATGGCATTTACAGATCCCACATCTCTATGGGTGTGTAACTCTCTGGCCCTTATTCTCTTCATCAGCCGTTTGTCTCTGCGGAAGTGGAGGCGACAAGACTTCACCAAGGGCGATTATTGGACCATGACTGCGGCGGTGTGGGTTATTGTCCGCATGACTATCTCTTATCCCATTTTGAAATATGGGACATCACTTGGTACGTTAGACTTGGCCGGTTGGCTGTGTCATGGAGCCCACGGCTCCAAGATTGGCTTTCGTAGTTGGGATGATAGATAACCTGCTGATGGCTCCCTCTCTTAGCATTGACCGACCAGCAGCGAGAACGCATGGATTTCACTGAAAAGGAAATCCATTATTTAGTTATGAACAGCAAACTTAACCTTCTTTTAAGGGTAGTCCTCATATCTCTGTAGGTTGACTGCTTCCCCGAGAGAGGGCTGCTCCAGCAATGCCATGACTGACTAGCCGTGCCTTAGGCTGTGGAGTTTGAAGATGGTTGTTCTCGACTTGATCATGCTCCTGTTTCGACGGCACTGGTATGAGCACTGGATATTATGGAGCTTTTATGTCATCTTCTTGGTTACTTATCTATTATCCTTCATGTCTGTTTTCGTCGAGTGTCGACCGTTTAAGCTGTACTGGCAGATATACCCGAACCCCGGCCAATGGTTGGTAAAGAGCCCCTTACAAAACGCCTATAATTTGCTTATTGATGTTAGTATCAAGGGAAACCTGTGGCTGTTGATATATGGTAAGTCTAGATCGCCGTTAAGTTGGTGGTAGATGCTTACCCGGCCTCTAAGAGGTTGGTAATATTGTTACAGATGCGATGCTTCTCATCCCCCCCTTCACGGTAATTTTCCGAGCTAAGATTACAATTGCCAAGTACGATATCTTCCTACGCCTGCTTCCCTCCCACCCTCCGCCCCGCACGTCTCCCCTTCTTCTGGGTTAAAAGTAGAGAAAGATACATTACTAACTTTCCCTTTGCTACAATGCCTAGACGCCTACAACTCTCCGCCCTCTTTAGCCTTGGCCTTTTTCTCCTTATTGTCTCAGTCGTGCGCATTATGCAAGGCTCAGGAAACACCAAAATCCAGCTGAATCGGACGTTGTGGGCGTCCCTTGAAACGCTGGTGGCTAGCATTGTTGCCACAATACCAGCCTTATACACCATGATCCGCCAGCACAAGTCCTCCCAATCGAGCGGTTACGAGATGAGTGGATATGGGACAGGCGGCCGAAGCCGTGTACAAGGCCTAACGACAACGAGCACTTGCAATCGAGGAGTGGCGGTGGGTGCGATACCCGATCGCCTTGCGTCCAAGGTTAGCACTTGGGTTGAGCTAGGAGAAGCAAGTAACAGAGGAAGTAACGACGGTAAAGAATACATTGGTGAAGGTGATAGTGCAAAGGGGATTCTTGTGGAAACTCGGATTAGGCATGATACAACGGATAAAAATGATATCGAATGGGAGAGCCAGGGTGTTAGAAGCTGATAGATATAGTTGAGGTAACTAATAGATATTTCTTGTTGTAGGAAGAATTGCACGGATTGAGATTGTCAGACAGGAAGGCCTGACAGGCCCCCTGTGAATGAAACTTATTCCACCCGGGAGGACTAACCTCATAGGGCCAACAGGTGCCTCATAGGTTCACGGCTATCTCACGGATGAATATATCGGCGGTCGGTGAATCAGTAGCCGATATCCCCTTCGGCTGAAATATCGGACAAGTGGGGTGTTGAAGGCTGGTACACTCAGGCTCTTGATCCTTGACACCTTCCGTCAGATTGATGATCTTTTCGGCGCTTTCGGATCACTGTTGATCCTGTCACCCGCATCCTCTTCTGCGGCAGGTTCGTCGCTTCCAGGCAAGTCGTGTGTGGGCGATGGACAGCCTCGCTCTCTGGAGGTCTGTGATCTGGTTGATCTGTTCAGGCTGGCAGCATCTTCCACCGTTACCTGCGACCTCATCCCTGCCTCGGCCCTAGCAACCACAGTCTGGTTATGGATTGCGGTGGCGTGCATAGTCTCTGGCGCAAAAGTGACTCCAGTGTCTGTATCCACAATCCGGCTAAACTGATTTCGTTTCCCCATCTGACCGATTGTCGGGACGCTAATACTAATGCCGCCAGGAACACCCGGTGAATGTCTGGTGGAGAGGAGAGGGTGCCCACTTTGTTGGTGGGAGAGGTCTTTAGTGCAGACCACACCCGTCCGTAGGGTAAGGCTAGAGGGGTAACAAAGGCAGCAGGAAAAACAACAACAAAGCCGACTTCTGGAGATAAAGGGTGTTCCAAGCAGCTGATCAAATGCTTCTTGATCGCTGCTAGGAAAAGATAATAAGAAATAATATCAAAAGCTGCTGCGACAGCTGCAGTAGAAGGAGCGTACTGGGACTCAAGGTCCCTTCTTAAATTGGAAGAAGGAAAAAGCGTGCTGTTTATTTTTCAAGCAGACTTAACGCTTTAAGTAGGAATAGCCTAGCTAGCACAGGCCTTCCGTACCGTATTAAACTCCAGGTGGACTGTTGGCCCCATCACACTAGGCTTTTAAAATACCTAAAGTAATTAGTATTTACTAGAAAAAAAATCTAAGCAGACTTAGAGATTTATAGAAAAACAGTAAATATTAATATTAACTGTTAAATAAGCTTACTAACTACTGGTAACTAATTAATTACTAAATTAATAATTAATCCTTAAATCCTAGGCTGGATTCAGTAATTAATCTGAATCGCTGGCCGGATTCAGATTAATTGATTAATTATATTACTGCGCGGGTGTGAGTTGAGTTCAATCTAAGAGTATAGGGTAGGCTAATTGAGGTACGGACTTGCTTGGGATGGATTGGGATATCAAGCGTAAAGCAAATAGATTTTGCTAAGTCCAGTAATACATACTGTAATAAACAGACAGGTGAAAATTATGTACTGTACTGTACTGTACTCCTGAAGTCTTATGCCTCGTGAGGTCTCTTCGTTACCATCGGCCTGAGTTTGATCAAGAGGAATTCATGGTTTCGTTTGGTTGCTACTGAGAAATAGTGGACCCACTTGACTCACTACCGAATGATTCAGCAACGACGCAGAATCTGTTTATGTACTCTCGCCTTCACGGCAGAACAGTAACTCTCAGCAGCTATTTTTAAGTGGTTTGTTTATAAATTCCCACAGATAGTGCATCACTGCTCGTGAATTAGCGTGTGCTAACACGTTTGTACTGCTATTCATGTGCGCACGCTTGCTATACCTAGCACACATGCGCGTGCACATCCTTTGTGCTAGCGCTCGTTTGTTGGTATGAGTATAGTAGCTGCCGTGTGCCACCTCCAGCCGCTCCTTCATCTGTCCGCTGCCAGGCAGCGCCAGTTCGTCATCAACCCCTCCCCAATCACTATCATCATCGCTACCCCTCGTGACCCATTTCGTACTCCTGGCCATGATCCCGCCTTGGGCACCGGGAGGTGCTTCATCTACATCGCGGGATGCTGTAGCTGAGATAAAGAAGGAATACTCACTGTGAAGGTTCCGCCTCTGACATACGTAGCCATCGGGGTGTGCATGATGTCCAGTGTCTGGCGTCGATAGGTCAGCCACTCCATGAGAAACTTCAGCAGAGCTCAGTGTTGCTCGCTTCTAATGTTTTGATACTGACGCCGTTGGTGGCTCTCAAAACTGATCTTTGACATGAAAAGTCACTGCTACTTTAATCTTATATAATAGCAAAATAGATATAGAGCTAACTCTTCGCTGTAGAAATAGAGTCGCGTTTCTGTACTTCTAAGCCTCACTGGATGTAGCTGCTTTGTTGAGCGCCTGGACGCCTCGCGTCTTACCCGATGGATACTCAATCAATGAACTGTCATCTCGGTCCTTTCGGGGAAATCTTAGGTGCTACTGGGGTGGAGGACGGGCATGGTTAAGCAGACCGGGCACCATACGATTTTAGCAGTCGCACGACGGCCATATGCCCTCCCCCAGCAGCCAACGATAGCGGCGTCCAACCATATCTATCCCTCGCCTCAATAGCGGCGCCTTTCTCCAGTAGCAATCGCACAACGGCCTCATGCCCTCCCTCGGCAGCCCACGATAGCGGCGTCCGTCCATAGTCATCTCTCGTATCGACGACGAGTATATTCCGATCTAGGGTTCGACCTAGAGATCTGTAGATCGCCGGATCTTGCTCCAGATCACGCACAATGTGCTGTGCCCAATATAACTTGGTGTAGAGGAGAAAATAAAATTGACTGGTAGGTTGTATCTCGGAATATTGGGCCTCCTTCGCTAGAATTTTGCTGACGTCAATCCTTGACGGTGAAACCAGTCAGGAGGGTCGTGAGGGAAGAGCTCCTAAAGCATGTAATTCGCAAGCGAGCCATCCTCCCCCCGGCCGTTAGTAAACACAGCAGTCAGCGCGCCATTAAGGGTAATGAGTTCCTCTCCGTATTGCGTGGCCTCACGCGCTGGAAGACCACGTTCCAAACTCGCCTCAAGGCTTGTCTACGGGCTCTGGTTTGCCTTCTGGACCGCACGTCCGATAGCTTTGATTGAGGTATTGATGACGCTCGCAATCTCGTCTAGCAGGTGTTCCTGCCGGGTTGCGATAACCGGATCTAGGGTCAAGCTTGCGATCTTTCTAGTCTTTGAGGTTCCTTCGTACCAGACCTCTGCCCCGTATAGCAGGTTCGGCCGCACGCAGGTCAGGACTGCCTTTGGAGACTATGGACGTCCACATTGAGACCTCTTTCGAGACGAGCACTGGCTGGGTAAGCCTTAACCTCCACCACCAGTAACATACTAGGACGCTAGAGCCTAGCAGCCTGCCAGCAGCTTGCTGAACCCCCAGGTCTCGACCTCAGGCACCCTTTCATAACTGCCACCTCGAGTGACTTCAGGTACATTGGCCTGCCTTCTGCAATCCCGATGTACCTGTGGCCCCCGGTGATGATGGTAATCACGGCGA